TGTACATCGCATCAACCATGCACATGGTGGACACGGGTCCATAGCATAATTTCGTTATGCTGTGCTACCGTGTGCACCATGCATGGTGCACACGGTTGCAAAACGACGCCGTTTCATTAACAAAAAAATTCCGTTCAAATTGTAGTTAACGGCATTAGACGGTTTCCTTTCGTATTCAAATAGTAGGATATATCCATAAATTCATAACTATATATCTACAAATTCATACCTATATATCCACAAATTCATAACTATTTATCCAGATCAAATTACATAACTATATATTCATAATTTGACAATAATAACTACATATTCATAATTTCATATCCATATATTCATAATTTCACAACTAGACATTTATAATTACATAACTCCATATTCAAAAATTTTAAAGTGCTTGTTCACAGAGAACTATATCCATAATTTCAAAGCTATATATCCACAACTTAATAACTATATATCCATAACTTTATAACCATATATTCATAACTTCATAACTATATATCCACAACTTCATAACTATATATCCACAATTTCATAACTATGTATCCATAATTTCGTAACTATATATTCAGAATTGCATAACTATATATTCATAGTTACACGTCGATTGGAGTTTTTGTAAAAAAAAAAAAAAAAAAAAAAAAAAAAAAAAAAAAAAAAAAAAAAAATTAATTGGTGGGGTTAAACGATACCACTAATGGCACCGTTACTCCATCATATTAAACGGTGTCGTTTTTCAACCGTGTGCACCATGCATGTTGCACAGCATAATTTGCGTAATTTGCCCATGTAAACTTTCTCAACCTATTGAAGCATGTGTCAAAAGGCTCTTATTTAAAAAACCTTATCTTAATAGCTTCTTATTTTAGTTTTTTTTTTTTTTTAATTTTTTAAATTTATTAGGGGGTTTGAGAAAGATTAACTCAAAATGTATATGAGTTGTTTTAGTTTTTAGCAGTTTGGAGCAAATTGCTAAGTTATTACATAATACTTTTGGTGTTTTGATTAAATATAAAATGTTAAACATACGAATTTCTTAAAATTTTGACAAATTTGCCAAATAATCAAATTACAATAACAACAAAAATAAAAATAATAACAACAACAACAATAATCCTATATATAATAAAGCTATATGGTCTTGTGAAAATTAAATAGTGATAATATCAACATTTAATTTTCATAAGACCATAATAATATTGTTATTGTGAAAATTAAATGTTGATAATCAACATTTAATTTTCACAAAACCATAATAATATTGTTAATTATAATAAAAATACTAATAACAATAATAATAATAATAATAATAATAATAATAATAATAATAATAATAATAATAATAATAATAATAATAATAATAATAATGATGATAATTTCCACGGACAGTTTCTAATATATATATATATATATATATATATATATATATATATATATATATATATATATATATATATATATATATTTATTTATTTATTTATTTATTTATAATTCAATTTCTACTGGCAAATTATTGTGTGAACGATGGTCCACATAATTGTATGGATCATGAATATCAAATACATTTTTAATATATTAAAAATACATTATTTTTATATTGAAAGTACCTTACATACATATATAATGTACCCTTAGTATATTTAAAATATACTTTTTATTGCATGCAATCCCAAAGTTCATAAGTTTGAAATTAATATATGGCATAGCTAAGCGGCCTAATATTTAAGATTGTTGATGTGCATATTGAGGACTACGGAGACAAAGATGCGTTATTCGTGGATTCATCGGATACTATCCAACAACAGTCTCCAACTTAATTGACGTGAAGTGGCTTAGTAACATTAAGATTATATTCTCGAATTATTAGTTCTAATCTCTTATTGATTACACACTTAATTCGATAGTATTTGGAAGAAAAAATCAATGTTCGAACTAATATTGTGATTTTGGTCTTTAAAGGTCAATTGTATGGTGCTACATCTAGAGTTAGAAATCTCAAAGGTCTAAAAAATTTGATCCGTGGTAATTCTAAAATTGTAATTCAATTACTATTGTAGTTTACTAAGTTCTTAAAAATTTGTAATATTAAATACTATGTACTAAATTTTTAATATAGTTTAAGATTTGTAGTAATCACCCACCTTAAATATTATTTTAATTGTAAATATATTTATGTTCATAATTTTATTACAGGAATTCACACATAATAATTATTAAATAACAAAAATTTTATATATGAATAAACCTCATATAGAGTATACTTTTATAACATATTTTCCGTGCATCGCACGGGACAAATACTAGTAATAATAATAATGGTAGGGAATATCCCGACCGACATAGTGTTACCCCGATCGGTATGCCTTCGTCCTTTTCTTCTTGTCTTTGCAGGTTACAGGTCGGGTTTTCCTGTGAAGAACCCTGTCGGGATCCGACCGGGAGTTACCCGAGTGGCAGTGTCGACCACCGAGTGGTAGCCCTTTAGTGAGAGAGCTGACGAGGGACGCGTGGCGGCTCCACGCGTTGACAGGCAGGGCACTCGGGGAGGCGACACGTGGTTGCTACGTGGGAAGCATGCCGGACGGCCGGATTTGTGTCTCCGGCTCCGCGGCTATAAATACGCGCAATAGCGACAGTGTGAGGGACTTTTGGACGATCGATAGATTGTTATTAGAGATTCCCGACCGCAGTCAGTCGGTACTCAGAGCAACCAACTAGATTGTACTTAGGGCCTTCACTGTGATCAATAAAAGTTATTTACTTACTTTAATTGGTCTCGTGTTTATTTAATTACTGCATTACATGGCAATTAACACTATCAAATAATAATTATAATGCAAACAAAATTATATACAAATAAAATTAAATTAAAAAAAAAAAAAAAAAAAAAAAAAAAAAAAAAAAAAAAAAAAAAAAAAAAAACAAGAGTCACAGGCTCCCTTTGTAAATGATTTGGGATCATTTTGATCCCACATTGAAAATGTTTGAAAAGAGATAGATTGATCCCACATTGAAAATGTTTGAAAAGAGATAGCTCCTCTGTATAAGAGGAGCCATGATCCTCTTATAAACATAATTGTTTGCCCATCGATGTCGACAAGTATTAAAAAGTCAAAATATTCTTATTTAAGAAGGCTTAACTTTGTCTTCTTATTTTAGTTTTTATTTATTTATTTATTTATTTATTTATTATTAGTGGGGGTATTTATTTATTATTAGTGGGGTTGTGAAAGATTAACCCAAAATGTATGTGTTGTATTAGTTTTTTAGCAGTTTGGAGCAAATTACTGAGTTATTATATAAAAATAATAGACACGGGCTCCCCTTTGTAAATGATGTTGGATCATTTTGATCCCACATTGAAAATATTTGAAAATGAGCTATTGAGCTCCTCTATATAAGATTGTTCATCTTACAAAAATAATTGTTTGCCCATCAATGTGGGAAAGTATTGAGAAGACCAAAGGCTCTTATTTTTTTATTTTTTTTGAGTACTATTGACTCGTCAAATTATGTTGTGGAATCGTGTCTACCTAGCAAGATAGACACGGTTCTTAAATTGTTCATAGTTATGAATTATGAATATATAGTTCTATAATTATGAACATAGTGTTGTGAACATAATTATGAACATATAGTTATGTAATTATGAATATAGAGATTCAATAATTGTGAATATGAAGTTCAAAAATTATGAATATATAGCTTTATAATTATGAACATATAGTTCAGTAATTATGAACATATAGTTTGTAATTGTGAATATAGAGTTCAATAATTATGAATATGAAGTTTAAATGTTATGAATATATATGTTTATAATAATGAACATATAGTTCAGTAATTATGAACATAGAACTGTGTCCACATTGCGAGGTAGACACGATTCCACATCATAACTATTCGATTCACCATGGTACATGTAGTATTTGTTCATATAAATTTTCTCAACCTATTGAAGCCCAACATGTCAAAAGGCTCTTATTTAAGGCAAGTTATATCCTGCACCACGGCGCGTGTTGCATTGTGCGCCGAGATGCAAAACGACGTCGTTTCAACTTTTTTTTTTTTTTTGAAATTTCGCTACCCAGTGTTTAGCAGTTAATTTTCCTTTTAAAAAAAATCTCATGTTAAAAAATGTACATAATGTTATACTAGAATACACATAATTGTATACATGAATTACATAATTATATAACAAAATACACATAATCTTTTTTAAAAGATAATACACATAATCTAACATAATACATAATAAACATAAACTTTTAATATAATACACATCAACTCTTAACATAATACACAAAAATTTCTTGATTCGGATGTACATAATTGTATAAAAAAATGTACATAATTGTATAAAAAATGTACATAATAAAAAATATACATAATTGTATAAACAAATATACATAATCATGTCAACTTCCTACCGCGCCTCCCAAAACGACGTCGTTTTGGGAGGCATGGGACGCACAGTGCACTGTGCGCCATGGTGCAGGGTATAACGATTGCTTATTTAAGAAACCTTATTTTAATGGCTTCTTATTTAAGTTTTTTTAAAAAAAATTATTATGGGGTTTTGGAATGATTTACCCAAAATGTATATATATGTTGTTTTAGTTTTTAGCAGTTTGGAGCAAATTGCTAACTCATTAAATAATATTTTTGATGTTTTGATTAAATATAAAATGTTAAACCGGCGAATTTCTTAAAATTTTGGCGAATTTGTTAAATAATCAAATTACAACAACAACAACAACAACAACAATACTAATAATAATCCAAACAAAACTATATATAAAATAAATTTAAAATTTAAAAAAAAAAAAAAAAAAAAAAAAAAGACAAAGGGGTGCAACGGCTCCCTTTGTAAACGATGTGGGATCATTTTGATCCCACATTGAAAATGTTTGAAAAGAGGAGCTCTTGAGTTTCTCTATATAAGAGGTACAAACATAATTGTTTTCCCATCAATGTAGGAAGTATTGAGAAGTCAA